TTCTGACGTAGTCGAAGGAGTCACATATGGTTCTAGTAGCTGATTGGTTGTAGTCTGTTGTATCATGTTATCGGTGGGGACTTCGAGTGCTAGAGCTTCCAAGTTCACAGTTATTTGAGACATCAGTACATCGGTTTCTTGGTGCTGGCTTGTCAATCCCGCTGCAGTTTCTAATGCCTGTTCAACAGTGATTGTTTCAGGTTCAAAAGGATAGTTCAGGTAAGATCGTTTGTGTATTGATACAGATACATCAAGCTCATGTTCACCACAGGCCTCCTCAGATGTGAAGTTGTTGAGTGGTGCTGCTGAATTGTTTGTTGTCATGCCAGAAAAAGCTGCTAGTTCTTCTGCCCGAGATTCCGCGAGCTCAAGTAGTTCATTGATTTCGCTGTTGCTGGGATACTGACTGAGGATGTAGCTGAAATCGTGAGTGTTATTGGGTGAGAAATCGTGTTTGTAGCCTATTAAATTAGACTCTGATTAGCTTTATAACAAACACAAGCAGACTCTGGTTAGAAAACTTACCTGCGTGCAGATTCTCACTCATGGGTAATGTGATATGCCCACTCATGATGCTCTTTATCACAGCAAATATCTTTGGCATCATCTGCCTTGCGTCTAATACAGTAAAAGTTGGAGAAATTACCCGCATCCATCCAAAGATGTGCTCACAACACTCAGTGCCATGTTTCCAGGGCATTAGCGGGTGCGTAGGGTAGTGGTCACGGTGAGAAATGATGAGTCCCAAGAGACTCTCACCAAGCTTTTCAAATATTCGGATGCTTTGATGTGAGATACAGTTTGAGGATAAATTCATCAAGCTCCCTGATTCCTTTTGACGTTTGAGTAGATATGCCTTCCACTTTCGTACAAAAAAGACTGCCGTATAACTTGAAATAATCCTTTCTCGGTGTGGCATGCTCTGGTTCAACCAAGAATCAACAAGCTCGCCAAATATGTAGAGATACAATACCAGACCAAGACAATCTGGCTGTGCACAAGCAGCCTTGAAAGTGTCCTCGCTGAAAGTTCGGTAAGCTCGCCCATCATCTTGCTTATCTGTATTTAATACATCTTTATAGCCAAGTGGGCACTCTTCAGTTTGGAGCAAAGTGAGGAGCTGGTCAAGGTTGACGTTGAATCGTCCAAAAGCTAAGAAACGCGCCCCAGAAAGTAGTTGATTTGAAGCTGTCTTCCTAGCATGTTTAGGATCTTGTACTACTACAACTGGTCGTTTCGAGGCCCCTAGAAGTGGAACACGTATGTTGACACTGAGTTTGGGAGCTGAGAACTCCAAATGTTCTGTCGCCGAGTTGACAAGTAACTCTTGTGCGAGCACTTCAGATGCTGCACCATCAGACCCCAACGAGATGAGTCGAATTCCAACAGATTCAAGTAGATCAATGAACTGAAGGTGCTGAGCCTTGATATCCTCAGCAGACTCATCCTCACGACTAGAAATCAAAGCCACCACAAATGTAGGAACGTTCGGAAGAGGGACCTGTAGAGTGTATGCTCAAATCTGAGATAAAGGTAGCTGTTGTCAACTTAAATCTGGAAGTGAAGTTTGAAAGTTGAATCTCACCAAAGAAAGAAGACTGACCTTCTTACACAGGTGATCTCCTTGAACTGCATGCTCCACCAACTTCTCTAGGTGTTCGAGATTGGAAACTTCGACATCACCACCTTCTACACCAACCAAACAGCTGTTGTTGTAACGAAGCGCCTTCACGCATACCGTCTGGTCTGTTCCTGCTGATACTGGCCCACTGTATCCGTATCGCTCAAGCCAAGCAACTACCGGAAGCACATTATCGATGTGAAATTTATCGTGCATCCGAGCACCAATCCGTTGGCGTTGTAAGCGAAAGCCACGAGATGAGCGTCCAGCAAGGTTTGCGCGAAATAGCTCAGAAGCACCTTTGGAGTATGCTCCTGCAGTTGTAAGCATGTTGTCGAGGTACTCGTTGAATGGCATTCCACGAGTTGTTAAGCCTTTTGCTTCCCTTTCAGCCCGAATGGCAACTCCCTCTGCTACTGCTCGAAGCATTGGGACATCTTTAAACAGTCCAGCCCGGGCGTGGACACCAAAAGTTGTCCAGAACTCTAGGTCGCCAGCTCTTGTTGATCGTTCGACTGATTGAATCAACTGCTGTAGCTCAGTATAGCGTAAAAGAAGTTCGTGGAATGGACCCCTATCCATGAAATTTTTTGCAACAAATCTGAGTGTATCATCCGATGCGTAGCCTCGAGTGATAGCTTTGCTTAATGATGAAGATTTCTTGAGCTCCAAGCAAGGCACACAGACCTCAACAGCCCCAGAATCGAGGGTTGAAACTCGCTGTGTACATTTGGTGGAATGAATCGAACCCTGACTTCCATCACGCCTGATGATCCATGTGGAAAGCGACAAGAGCTCTTCTTGAAGCTCATGCTTCTGGATATCGGACAGCGAGCTCTCTAGCGGGGTTTTAAACATTTGGAGACATACAGTAAACCTCGGTGGATATCCGTGATAAGCCGTGCAGGAATGCTGGATACATGTCAATATAGGTTGTTGACCTGGACGCAGCCATGTCTTGTCAGTCAGGCCTGCACATCGGACGTCAAAAACTTGTGGCTGGTTGTTTGAACTATTAAGACTTTTTGGTCGATCTACAGCCCGTCGAAGCTTTGCTGTTGCTGTCTTACAAGTTACTATTTGAAGACAATCAAAACATGAAAAATTATGTTGGTTCATCAGTGGACAATCAACGAAGATCTATTGGCTTTAGGAACCGATGACTTACTTGACTCCCAATGGGCTTTGGCATAGTGAATCCTACCGTGTATCATTTTGACCGAGTTTCCACAATGGCAGTGTAACCATTGGTCAGGTCCATCCTTTGTAAAGGCACATTCTGGGCAGTTTTGATCATCATCCGTTTTCAACGGGCAATCCTTGCGTTTTTTGGCATCTTTATTGGCAGCTCGCTCAGCCAATAGTTTTTGTTTGGCAGTGCGCAAAGTCGTTGATGTTGAGACATTAGATATTTCATTTGAAGGCGTAGACATCTTTGATGATTGAAATAAAAATTTCTCGGTCAACAAGAAAACAAAGAAGTACAAGCAAATCATATACAATCTCTTATGAAAGGTCTCTTGCTCCAGCCTCAAGCTCAATCGACCTCGGCATTTCACAACGTTTCACAATCCAAGTGTCAGCCTTCATGTCACAAAGTACAAGTACTTGTCAAAGACTCGAAAGGCTGGCAATAACCAAAGTCAGAAATTTGATTTTAATTAGAGATGGGTATAAACCCATGAAGTGTAGCTCCGCGGGAGCTCAAAAGGGACTTTTCTACTAGACTACCCTTTATGGGGGCATTCCGGGGTCCTATCTTGAGATATCCCAATTTTGCTGGATGTATCTTTATTAAGACAGGCTGTTTGTTGAGGAGCAATTGAATGCTTGTAGTGAGGGTCAAGCCCGAGTGTAAGGATACACATAGACATGTAGAGTCATCATGGGTTTAGTTGATGGGTTTAGATAGACACGTTGTATACATTCCTCTTCCACACTGGCTCCGGATGATCCTTACTCTTCTGAGAGCCACTCCTGGGATCATCTAGAGCTACAGCCTTTGTGAGAAATAATGGTTTTTTTTGTTCTCCAGATTTTATTTTATTTCTGACTTGTTGAAAAAACAAGTTTTCTTTATTTTTCAAGTGGGATATAGTTAAGGGAACTGTCGACGTATTTGACATATTCCCACGGAATCTCACGCGGCACGTGGTGGATCTTCTGGTAGGTTCCAATCACGGTTCTAGAGGGGTCAGTGGGTTAGACCTCATCTGTGATTTCTCGCTTCACCTCGTCCACCCATTCTTCCCAACTCGAGTATCCCTCATCCGTGATTTCCTGTCTTGCTTCACCTCATCCACCTATTCTTTTGTCCCTCTATTATTTCTACCTCAACCATCCTACCTCAAATTTGGCACAAAACTGATATGCCACCGGTGAGTCTTTTTCTTTTGTTTCCTGATCTCATATCTTGCAAGGCTCATATGATTGCTTTCCAGTTCTGGGTCTCTCATCATAGCCCGGAAATCAATCTTGCAGTTGTTTGCTTAGCCCTCACCGGGGTTCAATTTCACAATATTTCTAGGACTCTTGGAATGGAGTTAGCCCTTACTTCGGTCCATCGCTGGGTCAATCTCTACCAGGAAACTCAGGCCGTCGTAACAAATCCCTTGGACCGTATGGATCGTGGTGCACCATTAGTCTTAGGAGGATCCGAGCGTCTCTTTGTCCTTGATAGCCTTTGCCTTGACCCAACATTATACCTAGACAAACTCCAAAGCAAGATCATGGATCAATTTAATAAACATGTATCAATCAAGACACTTTCAACTGAGCTACGCGACAGATTGTGTTGGACACCAAAGAAAGCACATACCGTTCATCTGAATCAAAGTTTGGCAACCCGAGGGGCTTATATGGCAAGGGTACTGGACATTGACCCTTGTTGCCTTGTCTTTGCTGGTAAGTCAATGCTTTCTTTATGGATTGTTTCGCTATATACTGATTCTTCAATCGTCTTGGACCCCTAGATGAAACCGTGATTGCAAAACGGTGTATGTATCGCGAGTACGCACATGCACCCATTGGAGAGTGTACCCCCTAACTCGCCAGGCCAACTCAATCAGGCTGTTCGTCAGTGTTACCGGCTATTTCATTGGATGGCTTATTGGCAATCACCATCAAGTGAGGTGGGTATTCTCACATCAATTTCAAAGTTTTTTTGGAAGACAACTTGGTGAGCTGGACCCATGGATCCAATTGAGAAGGGTTTCTCACCAGTGAAAGCAAACCTCCAAAGGACCCAGGGACCTCAAGGGGCCATTGATGCTGATGGCGAGCAAGCTGTGGTATGGGTTTCCATGATGGAAGTTTTCACAGAGTGTTTGTGCGAGAAGCTTTTCAAAGGTAGTGGCTATATGTAGACCAGTTGTAATCGAGATGTTGTACTGTTATGACCTGCTGTCACGGGGGCTCAGGAGATGAAGGAACTCGGCAGAATCCTTCCTATTGATTAACGAGATTGTCGGATGAGGATTCATACAAGTTGCGTAATACAAAGATTATAGTCATTAGAAGTTTGTGACATGTGTAATCTCTTTCACGAATCCGTTACATTTGGATTGTAACATTATCCCCCATTTAACGCACAAACTCCCTCTTGCAAGTCCTGCTTTCTTTCCCCGGGCAGCGTTAAAAAACCCTGTGGGAAAAAGCTATGCCCTCTCTCACTTTCTCCTTTTCCTCTTGATTCTGATTGTTGATGTATTTGGAAATCTTGCAATAAAATCATTTAAAAGTTGCTTGCTGCTAATTAAATTGCCTTCAGGTTCCCAAGAATTGTGATTTGATTGATAACCCTTCCATTTGATTAAATATTCATTCTTCTTTCGCCGTATCCTGCTGTCAAGTATCTCTTCTACCTCCCATTCATCTTCTCCATTAATGATAATTGGTGGCGGTGATGTTGGTCTCCTTTCGCTAATTGAATCCACTTGATGTTTTCGTAATAATGAGACATGGAATACTGGGTGTATCCCTTTCATGGAATTAGGAAGAATCAATTTGTAAGCTGAACGTGACACCTTCTCAATTATAGGAAAGGGACCTAGCCATCTATGATCAAGCTTTGGACTAGGTCTCGTCGTTGAAATATTCTTCCCGTTGAGCCACACTTGATCCCCTATTTGCCAGTCAGGTGTCTTCTCAACATGTCGGTCAAATTGGGTTTTCATTGATTCCTGCGTGGATTCCAAACAGCTAGTCAGTTCTTTTTGCACATCTTCAATCAATTTCAACCTAGTCTCCACCACAGGTATACACTGTTCGGAGGAAGGGACTTTATTGAACACTGGATTGTAGCCGTAATTCGCCATGAAAGGCGACATGCCCGTTGATTCGTGATCTCTATTGTTATAGGCGAATTCGGCTGTCGGCAATAATGCCTCCCAGTCGTCCTGACGGTACTGGACAAAGTGTCTAAGGTATTGTTCAATGCACTTATTGACGATTTCGCTTTGACCATCGGTTCGTGGATGAAATGCGGTTGATGGGTGTAGTTGTATGCCGAGACGTTTATCCAGTTCGCGTGTAATTTGTGACACGAAAATTGTGCCTCTGTCGGAAACTATCGTTTTCGGCGTGCCGTGAAGCTTCCAGACGTTCCTTATCATAACATCAGCCAATTCATTAGCGGTCATAGATTCTTTACATGGAATAAAATGAGACATTTTTGTAAAACGGTCCACCACAGTTAATATACTGTCATATCCATTCGACGTCGGAAGTTTCGTAATAAGATCATAAGTGATGTCGGTCCATGGGCCGGCTGGAATTGGGAGCGGTTCAAGGGTGCCAAATGGTTTTTGCGTGGTTGATTTGACTCTAAGACAGGAGTCACAACCATCAACATACCTATTGACATACGCCTTTAATGAAGGCCAAATGAAACTTCGCCGGACTAAACCAAGAGTCTTTGCCCTTCCAGGGTGACCAGCCAGCAATGAATCATGTCTACTACGTACGATGAGATACTTGATGTGATCGTTGCTCGGAACTTCAATGCGTCCTTTGTTGTATAATACACCGTCTTTAATTTGATAGTCATTAACAGCCGTCTTGATTTTTGAAGATATTGGGTTGATTTTCGCGTTCATTAATTCATTGATACGTTCATCTTCCTTGTTTGCTTGTCGTATTAGATCAATAATTTCATCGTCCGTCATAATTTGATCTTCTTCAGCAATTTCAGTGATGGGGTCTGTGATTCCTAAGACGTCAACTTCGAACCAATGTTCGGCGTTATCAAGGTCTACAGTCTCATCTTCAAAAAAACAATCAAAAGCATCTACTTCGGCCAAAAATGAATCTTCCACTAAATTTTCGGGTTTAATGAGTTGACCAAATGTCAAATTGTCTTCTTCTTTAGGAGCTAGGTCTGGTCTTCGGGATAAAGCGTCTGGTTTCGCCGCATTTCGACCAGGTCGGAACTTAATAATGAAGTCGAAGCAGCCCAAAGTCTCCGCCCACCTTGCCTGACGTCTAGTAAGCTGTTTAGTCGTCATAAAAGTCTCCAGGTTCCGGTGGTCGGTGTAGACAATGACTTCTAACCTGTTAGGATTACCCTCGAGGTAATGACGCCACTCTTTGAAGGAAGCTACTATAGCCAGTAGCTCCTTGTCAAAGATCTCGTAGTTTCGCTCCGCCAGCGCCAGGGACCTTGACAAATACGCCACTGGATGTAGCAAATTATCTTCATCACATACTTGCGAGAGCACCGCGCCAAGCGCAAAGTCCGAACAATCGCATTCAAGGATAAATGCCTTGTACGGGTCCGCGATTTTAAGAACAGGAGCTGACGTAAAAGCGGTTTTCAAGGTTTCAAAAGCTTTATCGCACTCGGTGTCCCAGACATACGGAGTCTTCAATTTGGTGAGATTGTGTAGTGGTCGAGTCGTGTGGGAAAAATGATCGATGAACCTTCGATAAAAGTTCGAAAATCCTATGAACCGCTGCAATTCATTCACGTTACGAGGTGCCGGCCATTCCTTAACCGCCTTCACTTTGGTGGGGTCCATCTGAACCTTGTTCTTCGAAATGATAAGCCCTAAGTATTCAATTTCGTCCTTAGAAAACTCACACTTCTCCGGTTTGAGCCACAAGTTTTGATTGCTTAAGACATCCAGTATCCCGTCTACAGCTTCTTCGTGATGGACTTTTGTCTTTGTATATACCATAATATCATCAAGGTAGGCCGCTGTGTCTCTCCCAATCCTGCCAATCAAGATATCCTGAATAAAAAACTGGAAATGACCGACTGCGCCAGTAGGCCCGAATGGCATCGTAAGTGGTGCGAACTGCCCTTGTTTACAGATGAATGCTAAGATATCTTCATATCCCTCAGCTACACGAAGATTACCGTAGGCGTTCCGAAGGTCGAGTTTTGTGAACTTTTCAGCGTCCAACAAGCTATCTACCAAATCCATAGTTAAAG